GTAAATGATAGGTCCATCAAAATCCGGATCAAGATTGCAATTAACTTTTTTCGTTTTAGGCTTGACTATTTTTCTTGTAATTTAGAAATATTTTATTTTATTATAACAATCATATCGAGTAATACTAATAATAAAACTGATCCAAGTGAAATATTATACGAGGTGTTTTTATATAAGAAAAAGGATATAACAGCTATTCAGAAAAAACTCGGTATTATCAGTAATATAAATCAAACGGCAGTGACGGAGAGCAAGAAAGCGAAAAAACTTGTTGATTCATATGAATTGTTGTTAGAATTGGTGGGGGATTTAATACCCATACAGGGGAAACTTGGTATAGATATCAATCCCGTTTTAGAAGCAGAACTTAAAAGGGATAGAGCCTCTTCAGATAAACCAATTAGATTATTTGATTTGCTTTTATGCTTAGAAGACGATATAGCAACAATTCAGGAAAAAATCGGTATTGTTGGTTATACTAATCAAGAAATGGCAGAAAAAGCCGATAAAAATGTGAGAGTGTACCTCCGAAAGTTTGAAGAATTTCATGGTCCCTTAGAAAATGTTCCAAGTGTGTTAATACAGAAATTCATCAATAATGGTGTAAAGAAATTTTGGTTTACTGGTGAGGGACTACAATTATTTCCAAATATCTCTCCTCAACAATTGCATGAAATTTTTGTCAAAAAATCGGCTAGTGCCAATCAGTGCCCGTGTCTCTGATATAATCATTGATTAATGGCTCGAGCAAGACTATTTAATAAATTAATTCGTTCTGAATCAGTCAATTCTGTTGATACTCTAATTGCAGAAATAAGATCTGTTACAGTTAATGTATTGGTTAAAACCATTCTATTAGGTCCACCGGTAAAGATAACACTTCGAGATACCCTTAATGGATCTGGAACAAGTGGAGGTAGATCAGAATCGGAGAATTCATCATCTGAATAATCTGGATGTTCGATTTTAATTTTTGAATTAAGTTTTTTCATCACTTCATTACTAATCCTTCTACATCCCTTCAAACTAAGATATTTCAAATTAGTACAGTTGTCAGCTATCTCCTCGATAGCTTCATTACCAATCGAGCAATCACCAAGCTCAAGATGTCTAAGTTTTGAGCATGAGCGAGTAATTTCAGTGATACATCGATCAGTAAGACATTTACATGAATTAAGACTTAGGTGTATTAATTTCGGAGAAAATCTCACAATTTCTATAATTGGTATATTAGTGAAACCCTTACTTTTATCAAGAATGAGAAAGCATATATTTGGGCATGAATGTAAAATTGCACTGATCAATGTATCTGAGATTTTTAAACCTTCTAACCTGAGATATACCATCTTTGAACAATAGAGTGGCTTTATTTTTCTACACATAACCCTTTCAAAGTTTATCAATCGCCGAGTAAGAACCCGAGACATATTTAAGGCACGCCGACTCTGCTTATAATCCTTGTTAAAAAACTGAATGCGTCGCCATAGAATAGGAGCACCGCAGTGATACCAAAAGTGGTTGACGAATAAAGTAGGATAGAGTGCTTTATTCTCGGCTAAGAAACTGAATATGTTTTCAAGTAACTCTGGTAAATTAAAAATATTTAGACCCTTTTGGTCATTGCTTCGCAATAGTTGCGCCATTCTCAAGAATATATATTCTATATCTTTAATCGGAAAAAACAGCTAATGTTTGGATAATTAATTTGGGGCATACTGCAACAAAACCAAACAAAGTGAACATTGGTGTTACCAAGGATTTCAGGGATCATAATATTTGTTTAACATCACAATTGTATGATATTTGTTTTTATCCCTAAATAAAAATAGTTAATATGAAATTAATTTATATCAGATCTACTATGGAACCCAAGAATTACAGTACCATTAGAAGTATTTTGAAAAAGGAACAGGGTGAAAAAATTGCTCCTTACATTTTCAAAATAAATGATACTCAGACACTGGAAGCTTATCTAAGAAAAGAAAGGATTACCTATGAAATTTACCATGAAGAAAGAAAAATAATAAACATTAAGAAAAGAAAGCAGAATGAAAGTATTCTATTGCCCAACAAAAAGCAGAAATATTTGGAAGAAAAATAATCTTATTAATTATCGTTCCTTTACGTTGGTCAATTAATTAATCACTATAGATTCAATTAGTTCCTAACGAATTAATCTTTTACTAATCCTAGATTAGTCTTGGGTATTTAGTTCTCGCTGCCCCCGTCAGGCTGGATTTATTATTAAATTAATTAATTATTCACCACGGGAATTATCCGAATAGTCAAACGACGTAATTAATTACTTTATTACTTAAATACAACAATTATGCGAATATTTTGTTATAACTTGTGTTTTTATTATTTTATTTTTAATGATAATTACAAAATTCTATATAGCTTTGTTATTCCGTTCCCCCTTCTTCTTTTTGTTCACTATCAGTTTTTATAATACATTGAGAATTTTTTGAATTAATGGAATTAACCAAAAATTTATTTAAATTAATAATATTATTATGTTCTACAAGTTAAATTAATCTATTGTCCATTAATGTATGGTAAATAAGAATCCGAACCTTAGTCAATTGATGAATACTTGTACAGTATTTACGACCAACTTTGGTTTATAATTAAATACTACTAATAACTAAAGAACAAAATAAATAAATAAATAAAAATATAAGGATAAAAAAAAATGTTTGACATATGTCATGGGGAAGGCCGCGTAAAATTATGATTAATTAATTGATCTTATCCAGTGTTGGAAATTCATCGATCTTATGATCTGCAAAAAAAAATTTGTGCACATATGAACACAAGAAATTTTTATTTAAATAAAATTCGTAAAA